AGTCTGGATTTTTTTCTTTAAACATTTTCATTAAATCCATATAATCAAGATGATTTTTTCTTCCATAATCATAATATCTTTTTTTTTTTTTGATTGAAAAAAATGAAAAACAGGTGAAACATTTTTTAGTTTCTCAATTTTCTGAATCATTAAACACAAAAGAAAATTACATGAAAACATACCGAAATATAAAACGTATTCTTGCCATCAATGTATCCGATGTTTGTGGATCAATAACAATCAAACCGATAAGAAATTCATGAAAATCAATAAAATCATCATTAAAATGTTTATTTGTTTGTTTAGTTTCGGATTTTTTTGACGATATAAATGACCGAAATAATGGTAATAAACGATTTTTATCCAATGATGAATCACAATTTTTAATAAAATATGAACGAAATGATTCCAATGACATCATTGTTGATGGAAAACAATGTTGTATAAAATTTCCATATATTTTTATTATAATATCATGATTATTAGCTAAATTAAAATATTTTAATGCATCATATTCATCAGTATCCGATTGTTTTAATAAATCTAATGCATATGATAATGGTATTTCTTCAATAATTTTTGCCGACAATAATGATGATGATGTATCAAGTGTATGTAACATTGTATAAATTTCTGGACCCCATATTTTATCAATTTTTCTACTTAATATTTCAGTTGATTTAAACCAATTAACACGCATTGTATCTTCACAACAATGATCATATGATTGTAAATGAACAAATTGTGTTATTCTTGTTATTGTTTTGGTTGTCATCATTAATTTTGGTGATGTTGTCGGTGATGATGATGATGATTTGATTGGTACCTGAATACGAAGAATCTGTAAATATTGCATTGTATATTTTGGTGCTAAACGTTCAGCTTCTTTTGCATCCAATTCTGGATCTTGTCTACCGATTAATATTGCAACACCATTATGTGATGCTTGTTGCCATGTTGTTTGATTATCATTAATATTATCAATTAATGATACAAATGGTAACCAAATACAACCCATTTTTTTAACATTTGTCACAGCAATACGATCATGTTTTGGACAATAAATTACATAAACAATACAATCATAAACTGATGTTGATGTTAATAATTGATCACCATGATAACCTTCCGGTGTTAATCGTGCAACAAAATCACATCTTGGTGGTAAATGTATTGATGATGATGTTGATGTTGATGATGATTGTTTCTGTATTGTACCAATACCAATACTAAGTAAACTACTATCAGTATTTGGTGAACGAAAAATTGGTGCAGATTTTTTTATCAATTGTATTTTTGGTTGTTGTTGTTGCGATTTAATCAGTTTTGTTAATGATTTTTGTCGTAATTCTTTATTATTTGAGGAAATTATTTTACCGCTATCAATATTGATTTGACGATGAGGTTGATGATGATGATTATCATCATTATGGTTATTATGGGCCATTAGATCTAAATCGGTTTTTTTTGGGAAAATGAAAGAAACGAAAAAAGAAGAAGAAGCTATGTTAGTTTTGTTTCGATTCGGTAATTTATTTTTCTTTTTGTCGTTGTTCAATTACATTCGTCGATGGCGACGTTGATGATGATGATAATGATGATGATGATTATGGTCGAAACATAACCAAACAACAGCACAACAACTAAAACGTACAATTCTTTTTATTTATTGTTTTTCTTTTCGATTCTAGATTCGAAATTAAATTCGAAAAAATTCAAATTAAATTTTTTTTTTTAAATTTTTCATAAACAAGTTGCAAACTTTCATAGATGGCAGCACTTGTATCAAAAAGATTCATTCATTCAACAAAAAAAAAAAAATTGTAAACATTTTTGAATGACGTATACGACAACGACGAAGAAAGAAGAAAAACAAAAATAACATGAAAAAAGCATTTGCATTTGATTTAAAATTTTAAAATTAGAATTTTAAATTTTTTTTCTCACTCACTCACTGATTCTATTTACAATTATCACTTGAAATGATGTATGGAAAAGAGAGCGAGAGAAGTGAGAAGTGAACACCAAAAATTCCGAAAATTCCAAACACACAGAGTTGTTCCAATGAATTAATGAATTTTAATTAAAAAAATAAAATTCAAATTCAATAATAATTATTTTTCAATTCTAAATTGTTGTTGTTTGTTTGTAAACTTGTGAAAAAAACAACAACAATAAAAAATATTTAAAATATAGAAAATGTTTTCGGAAATTTTTGTTAATGGTTGTGATTTGTTTTTTGTTTTCGTTTTCGCATTTGTTTGTCAAACATCATGAATATGCATGAATCTTTTTAAAATTGATTTTGATTGCAGTTTTTTTTGAATAACAAAAAAAAAGAAAAAGAAATTCTGATTTTGTTTTCGTTGAAAAGCCACACAACTGAAAAAAAAAGAAAAAAAAATGTACTATTCAATGGGAAAAAGTTTATGTAAACAATTGATTAGCATAAGTAAAGAAAATGATGATTTTAAACGACAAAATAATCAAATTGATTATAATATTATTGATGATAATGATAATGATGATGAACAAAATGATAATTTAGTAAAATTAAATGTTTATGGTATACCGATAATAAATAATATGATTAGTTTTACTGGTTTAGGTATTTATCATACTGGTGTTGAAGTTTATGGTAAAGAATGGGCATATGGTGGTTATCCATTACCAGTATCAAGTATATTTCGTATGAGATGTCCAAAAGATATAGCATCATTATCAAGAATATCTGGCCATTTACAATTTGATGAAACAATTATAATCGGTCCAACTGATTATTCATTACAAGAAATTGAATATATTGTAAATGAGTATAAAAAATTTGATTGAATTTATAAATTTCTTCAATTCTTTTGTAAATTCTTTTTTATAGATTGCTGTAATGGGTTCAAAAGATTATATTGGTACAAAATATCATTTATTACATAGAAATTGTAATACATTTTCAAATGAATTATGTATGTATCTTTGTAATAAACCAATACCAACACGATTAAATCGTTTAGCACAAATTATTGGTAAATTTCCATTCATTACACAAATGATACCGGAAGAATATTTTACACCAATAGCATTAGAAAAAGATATTGCAAATCGTCAAAATTTAAAACAACAACAACAACCAAAATATAAATCTGAAATAGCAGCTAAAATGATAAATACTATATCACCATATTCATTAACTGATATAATGAAAACAAAAATGATTCAATCGGTTATGTCCAATACGGATAATGATAAAGATCAAACAACAACAACAACAACAACAACAACAAAAACACCTACAAATTCTATACAACAATTAAAATCAAACGATAATAATAATAATTATTACAATAATAATAATGTTACTGGAATCAATGATGATCAATTGGAAGATCAATATAGTATATTTGGTTTACGATCTAAATCATCGATTCAATATAAATGATTATGATGATGATTATGATGATGAACAAAGTCAAATAAAACAAATAAATAATCAAAAAAAATATGAATAAATGTTTGACAGACACACACACATCACATTGCGAATATTTTCAATATTTTTTTTTCCATATTTTATCCATAAAACATGATGACAATATGCAATGAAAAAACAAAAAAACAAAAATTTTATGAATTTCACAGACACACAGACACTCCTTTAGGCAAATTCACATTTTTTCAATCAGCCAAACGAAGAAGATGGAAGAAAAGTCATCGAAAATGTGTCAAACATTGTGTGTATTGAACTTTTGATATTAGAAAGGAAATGAAAAAAAAAAGAAAAGAAAAATGATAAAATTATATTACGAAGACGACGACGACGACGACGATGAATGATGATTGAAAATTGAAAAAAAAGCAAAAGAAGAAAAAAAAATTTCAAATTCATCACCATTCGTCGTCATCATCAATCGTAATCGAAGAATAACCCGATTCGAGCACACAACACATCGGATTGTCATTCGATGCCGTTCATAAAGTCTATGACAACCAAAAAATCGAATGTTTTCCAAAGAATATTCTTTCGGAATCGAAAAAGACTTTATTTTTTCTTTTGCGCTCCAGATTTGATTCTTTTCCATTCATTCATTCACTATATTTTCATTATTCCGGAAAAAATATGCAAGGAAAGAGTTAGCGAAAGAAAATTTAATTTGAATTTGATTAGATTTTTTCAATCCTTTTTTTCTCATTTCACATTGACTTGTGTATGTATGCCGATCATCATCATCATTATTAAACCCGAGTGAGAGAGGGGAAGAAAACTCGTTATTATAAACTGAAATGATCTGAGCACAAAGATAAAGATGCCGAAGAACAAAATCTGATCTCCGAAAAAAAAATCAATTCGAAAGAAAAATGGTAAAAAGAAAACACTGAGAAAGAAGTTAATATGACAACTCATAAGGGGACCAAAAAAAAAATTCCAAAGAATTTTTCTATTTTTTTTTAATGAAAATAATAAAAAAAATCCCCCAAAAGAATGAATATTAAGAAATGGCTGTCATCATCATCATTTTGTGTGAGCCAAAAAGCTCATCATCATGATCATTTTTGGATTCTAAAAAAAAATCTAACCGGAACTTGTAACAGAATAGAGAATTCTATATATTCTGTGAAAAAAATGAAGAAAATCTGTAAGAATCGGCAGCAGAAGAAGAAAAAAATTCATATTTATTAAAGATCGATATGTAATAATCAAAATGAAGAGAAGAATATTCTTTCGGAAAGAAATGAAAAAAGAAAAAGAAAAAAGATGGATGTATGCATGAAAAAGAAGAAAAAAATTCCGAAAAGATTTCTCTTTCTTGTTCATTCGTGAAATTGCCATGGAATAGCTAAGCTAGCTAACGAAAAAATCAATCATTCATTCAGTGTGTGTTCTACTTTCACTTCTATATCCAAATCATTCATCGAATGATAATGATGATGATAAAAAAAATAAGGAAATTAGTTTCTTAAACATTAGAACATCTAAGAATTTCCAGTCGCTTCTTTACATCATCATTTGTATTTATATATAATGCAAACATCTATCTCTCTCTTTCTTGGAAGAAATTCTATGCTTCTTCATTCTTCATTCTTCAATCAAATCAAATTGAATCGATATCCCAATTAGACAAAAAAAAAGATTCTTTCTTGATTTTTTTTTCTCTTCTTCTTCTTCTTTGGAAAAGAAAAAAGAAAATAACATGATCTATGCATATAATCATAACATAATGAACATGTTATTCATCTTATCATCATCATCATCATGTTCATTTGAATTTGTTGTTGTTGTTGATGGCCATTTCCGGATTTTTTATTTATTTCAATGTTTCAATTGATGATGATGCTTGATTCAATCAACAACATGATGATGATGATGACGACAACATTTAATCATCATTGACTACTAGACACAAAGTATGTTCGTTATTTTTGCTCCAAAAGATAATCATCATCATCAACATCGTCCAAAAAAAGAAAAGTTAATTTTCCAAAAGTCAAGGAATTTAATTTAATTGATTAGAGAGAGAGAGAAATGAAAGTAGAAATTCATTTTGATTTCTGGAAAGATTTATTTCAGACTGATCATCATCATCTGATCGTCTGATCATCGTCTGATGTTTAATGATTCAAACTTTTTATATGAAAAACAACAACAACCAACAACCAAGAATTTGATATGTCGATCATGTTCCAGAAAAGAAAGAAAGAAAGAAATCTTTTTTTAGATTCATTCATTCATTCATTTTTAGATTTATTTATCTTCAAATTTCTATATTTTTCATTGATCAATTCAATTTACAATTTCTTCGTCGTTTTTCTTCAATTCTAGACTTTAAGAAATTTGTCCAAAAATAATTAGCTTAATGATGATGGATTATTATTATTTTTATATTTTAATTTCAAAAATAAACAAACAAAAATACAGTGAAAAAAAATCAGGTTAGGTTAGTTTAAACCAGTTTTAAACCAACCAATCATTAGTGTTCTATATACCTAACATGTTATCTATCTGTGTATGTTTGGCCATCGAATGGAAAGATTTATTCAAAATTTTCTTTCGTGTTTTTTCCTGCAAAGACTTTTCTTCATTCGAAGAAATTCAATTGATTTTGTTTTTCTAAACAAATTTTCTTTTCAAAAAATTCATGTTTTTTTTGTTTCTCTTTTCTTTTCTGCAGAATTCAAAAGAATTTTGTAGCCAAAAAATAAATTATACAAATAACAAATAACAACAACAACAAAATGTAAAAAAAATGTGAAAACGAAATTTTCCAGTTTCCAAAATTCATTCATTTTCATTTCACCATAAACACACAACGGTAACGACAACTACAATGATGAAAAGTCTCTGAAGATTTCCACAAAAAAAATAATTTCCAAAGATGTTTTTTTTTATTATTCAATGAATGAAACAACAACAACAACAACAACAGGATAAAGATCAACAACAAGACAGGTTACAAGATGCAAACATTTAGTAGAAACAGAAGCAGCAGCAGTAAAAAAACTGAAGAAAAATTTAAAATTTAAAAATTTTATTTTATTTTCTTTGAAAATTTAAATTTTTGTTTTCCTTTCTTTTCATTCAAGTATTCAGTGTTTTTCGTGTTTTTCTCATATGTGAATGGTGAGATAAATATGTGTTTTGTGTGTGAAGAATTGATTTGAAAATGTCAACAATTAACAAAAACAACAAAAAACAAGTAGTGGGAAGGTGATGGGTGTTTTGGTGGGTGGGTGGATTGATTTGAGTGGAAGTTTTATTTAATTTAGGCTATAAGTTTTGTACAATTTTTATTTACAAAAATTTTTTTTTCTCAGAATCCAATCATCATTATCCGACAGACATTTTTCATTTGTTCAAAAATGAAAACATTTCCCAATTTTGCTGGAAACTTTCCTATCCTGTTACACACCGTTTTTATTTTCTCAGACAAGAAAAAAATAGCCATTCCGAAAGTGTCATTTTGATTAATTTTTTTTTGTTCATTTTTTGATATCGTTTGATGTTGATAAATTAATGATCAAGATGTTGTTGTTGTTGTTGATGATGATTGAGAATAAAAAAAATTGAGAAACACGAAGACGACGATTGATTGTATTTGTGTGCATTTGGAACTTGTACCAAAATGATGATGATGATGAGAAAATCACAGAATTTAGATAGTGAAAAAGAAAAGAAAAATTATATCAGATAAGAAGTGAGAGTAAAGCGAGAGAGCAAAGAATCTGACAATCTTCTGTTTCTCGATTCTTGTTTTCGTTTTGTTTCGTTTGTCGTTGAGGATCCAATTTCCATTCTTTATCAAAAAAAAACCTGAATCTAGAAAGAATTCTGGTAAATTTTTTTTCTGGTTTCTTTTTTTTCGACGAAAATGATTTTTTTTCCTTTCTCGTTATATAATCATCTTCATTAGCCATTTCAAAGATTGTTTCTTTGGAAAATTTTTTTTTCACTCGTTTGTGCGTTGTGTGTTCCTGGTCGGTTTCCCCATATTCCTCCTTATTATACAGCTGTCTGTTGTAGTTGATTAAAGTCACAGTGAATTTCCTAAGAAAAAAAAAGAAAGAAATTTTTTGAGAAAAAAAAAATGTTAGAAAAAAAACAGATTAAGATATGGAAAGAAAGTAGTAAGATAATGATTTTTCTTTGCTTTCTTTGTTTTTATGTTTTGTTTTTTCGTTTTTTTTGAAATTCAAGAATCATTCACGCACACAGACATTCTGTGTAGAATTCATCAGTAAAATGGAACCCGAAAAAAAATACCAGAATCATCATCATCATTATCTTGAATCAGGAAGAAAAAAAAAGTAAATTTCCTTTTTTTTCCCTTTACATGATGGATATTTTTTGTTTTCTTCGAAGAAATTTTCCCGAAAATCATGTTTGATGGTGGCAAATGATGATGATGATTCTATTCGGTATATGTTCGTGTCATTGGTATATTAGATTGGATTCTCAATTTTTTTACTATTTCTACCCAAGTTATTCATTCATTCATTTATTGTTTTTATATAAATTTATCATTTGGTAAAAAACGATTACATAGTGAAATTTTACGTTTTTTTTTCTACTTTACTTACTTACTCACTTACTTTATCATTATGGTTATCTAATGTATTTTTGTGAAAGAATCAAGTCTTAGGTTGAATACACACACACACACACACACAGGAAAGGAATTTAGTCGATTCTTTAAAAGAATTTTTTTCCATTGTTTTAATATGAGAAAATTTACTTCCAAAATCATCATTGGTGGATTCTAAATCTATCTTTGTGTGACATTATGACAATGATGTTGATGATGATGATCTATATTGATGTGCAACAATTTTTTTTATTTCATTCAACTTTTCCTTAGTTTTCCCAAGTTTTTCGTTGATGAAATTTCATTCAAATGGTCTTTTCTGCCACTGTATATGCGTCTGTGTTAAATTGTTTTTTATTTTTCAAATTTTTGGTTCATCAGTTTGTCGCTGGTACAAATTGCTTGGGAGAGAGAAATCTTTCCGCTTTCTATCTTTCTTTATCCAAAAACATATTTCCTTTTCTGAAATAAAAAACACTATTTTCACTCTTTGTGTGTGTGTTAAAATGATCATCATTAGTGGAAAAAAAAATCTTTTGTGTGTTTGAATGTATTTTATTCCCTTTTTTTCACACACACAAACAGATAGAGTTGATGATGTTTGCAACCATAATGTATTTTCTTTTATTTTCAAGAAAATTTCTTTCCTGAATTTTATGGGAAAATTTCTTTTTTTCATTTTACGGGTTTTGATTTTCGGGTTATATGGGATGTCATTGTTTTTTGCATCATCAATCCTTTCTATCCTTTTTTTAAGAAAAACAAAAACAAAACAAAAACCACCACCAATATTCATCAATTTTATCCATAAATTGTCATGGTTGATTGATTGATTGAATGAAAAAAATCATTTGAATCAATTTGTAACAGAAAAACAAATGAAATATCCACCAACAAACACGAACGAACCAAAATCATTCATAAACAAAGTAATGCAAAACAAAAAAAAACAATTTCATTAGATTAATATTGATCACGATTTACTTTTATTTATCAAATTCATTTTGTTTTTTTTTTGTATCGAAAATAAATTTGTTTCGTGCATTTCATATGTGAGATATGCGATTGAATCGATTGATCCAAAATTCTTCATTAAACATTTAGTAAAATAACGATACAATGTGTCCGTGTTTGTTTGTTTTTCCCCCGAAAAAAACTAGTTGTGTGCATATAGAAACAAAACCGAAAGTTTTTCGGAAAACATTCGCAATATTTTTCCAATTTGTTGATGATCATGACCATCATCATTACTAATCATTATTAATATTTTGGAAAGAAAAAAAATCAGAGGATAAAAAAACGTAGAAAAATCATTTTTCAAAACCAAAAAAGTTTTATTTAATAATTTTCGGTTGTAAACAACCACAACGGAAGAGATAACCAAAGTACCGTAAACAAATTCAACTAATAAATAAAAAAACCGAAAATATTTCCAAAAAAAATAGACATTTATTATCCTCGGAATATAAAGATTCATCATTGTTTCTGTCTATCCCAACCGAAAAACAAAAAAAAACCGGTAAATAGCATTAGGTTATTTTATTTTTTTTTTCGCTTCCATTCACACAAATGTAAATGTAGCTGTGACCATTATTGTAAAACGGACATTAATTTCTACAACCAACCAGAAAAAAATGGCAATTTCTCTTCTCACATCATGTTTTTTTTTCGTAAAAACCAGAGAGAGATGTGTTTTATCTAACACTCTTGCTTCGTGTTGTGTGTGTGTATCTGGTGTATTTGCGTGAGATGAATTTACTAACATCAACCAACCAACTAAACAAAACCAGAAAAAAATCGAAAATTTTTCTCAGAATCCTGATCAGATATCCACAACCACAAATACACCAAATATATCCAACCAACAGGGTGTTTGTCGAGTAGAAAAAGATTGGAAAGAAAACAAAACAAAACACCCTTTATTCAATAAATAACCGAAACAATCATCAAATAGTATGGCCAAATAGCAGCAACATTCAGTCAAACAGCATCGATTATTGTTGCCGTTATCGACAACAATCGACCAAACAGAAAATACATTACAAAATGTGTGTTTTTTTGAAAGAAGAAAAAGAAAAAAACATCCAATTGCATTATAACATTGTAATGCTACTTGGTCTTTTGCTAAGAGAATTGATGAAATAAGAATTTTTTTCTCCCTTCATTCTTTTCACTTGGAATCTTGGAACAAAAATAAAATAAAAAAATTTTCACAAATCGAACTGAAATCAACTGAATCGACTTTTGAAGCTACACACAGACACTCAATTCATCGATGAAATAGACTGGGTTGAGTTTTTTGTTATTGTTGTTGTTGGTCCATTTTATTATCATTTTGCACTCAAAGAAGTGTTAATAATACGAAATTTTCACCAAAGAATAAATATATAGACAACACTTCTACTTTCGAATGGTCATCATTTTCTCAATTCTTCTCTTTTTTTTCTCATTTGCTTTCTTTTCTTTTCATCCATTGCATAACAATGTTTATTTGATATATTGAACACTATAGCCAACCACTATCACATCATCATAAACACAATGAATGTCTCTGGAGTGTTGATCGTTGTTATTTGAATTGGCAAAAAAAAAGAATAATGATGATGATGATGATCGGAAAAAATCGACAGCAAAAAATAAAAATAAATAGAAAATTTCCCGAAAATCTTGAAAAATGTTTTTTGCTTTTCTGGAAAGTATTCTTTTTAAAATTTTACTCACCTCATCGATCGATGATGATGAAGTAATTTCCATTGGATTTTGATTAACACCTGGACGATGTAAAAATATTGTTGTAGTTCCCGCTGCTGTTGCTGATGGTGTACCATCCGGTAATGAAACGGTATTAGTACCAACATTAACCGTCGATGTATCAATATTAGCTGTTTGTCCATAATAATCATTATCATTATTTGTTGTTGTTGTTGTTGATAATACAAAACCATCAATCTGTTGTGATGAAAAAGTAAAAAAATCATGAAAATTTGATACATAACATTTTATTCGGCTATTTTAACTGAATGAAATTCTGACATTATTGAAAATTATAAATGCAACAACAACAAACACATAAAGAAAATATAATTTAAATGGACCGTGACACCACTGCCGAGATTCCAAAAAAAAACATTAGAAAAATTAATGTTTCTTGACGAAAGACGAAAGAAGAAGGAAAAGAACCAGAATATTCTCCTTTTTCTCTCAACATAATATTAATGTTTCAAGAGATTCTTCAGAAAAACGAATAACGAATAAATCTGAATATGATATACACATTGTGTTAAAATAGCTAAAAGAAGAATTTCCCTGATATGGTTGATGAGCAAAAACTACAAACCAAAAAAAAGGAAAATTCACATAATGAGATTATGGTATGTATATGAACAGTTTGAAAAAAAACGACAAACAACAATAATTTGTTATGACATTGTCATAAAACATTACACCTTTGGGGATATATTATCATCATTGTTCTGAAACATTAAATGATTTTGATTAAACATAAAAAACACAAAGTTTTTCCTAACAACAACAACAACAGCAAGAAAAAAACAATAACGACAACAGAATATATCAGGGTAAAATATTAATCACTGTTGTTGTTGTACAGTAGATGATTTGATTCTGAAACTTTTATTATGGATATTTGTTGTTGTTGTTGTTTGAAATATTCATCTTTATTACAACAGCAAAGTGTGGGTGATAATCATAATATTAGAAAAAAAAACTTGAAACTTTCAAGTGGACATATTTTGGGATTAAGAAATTCCCGAGAAAGTTTCTTTCATCAATGTTAATCACAAAAAAATATGAAAGAAAATAATAATAATATCTGGACTATTTTCGGTTGTTGTTGTCATTCTGTTGTAATTTTATCGAAAAGTTTTTTTACTATAATTGCTGTTGTCCAAGTAATAAAATTATAAAGGTGGAAAAGTTTTCCGAATTATTATTATTTCCCAAAAAAAAAGAAATTTGCCAAGAAACTTACTTTATCATTTAATGATAAAATCTGTGGCTGTGATGATGTTGTTGTATATAAAATTGTTTGTTCCGGTAATGTATCAATAAAATAATGATGTTGTTGCGGTTGTTGTTGTTGTTGTTGAATGATTGAAGGAGGAGGTGTATCGGTTATCGATGAACTTGGTGTTGATAATGAATGTTGTTGATGATGAACAATTTGTGAAAATTGATGTGGAAAATGTTGTTGATTATTAGGTATTATACAACCAGATGTAGGTGTAAAAAATGCAACTTGATGATGTAATGGTGAACTATTGTTTTGATTATTTGTTGTAAAATATTGTTGTTGTTGTGGATCAAATTGAAATCCTGAATGCTGATGATGATCATTATGATGAATATCGGCTGATTGGAATGTTGTTTGACCATCCATATCATCATTGTTGTTGTTGTTAATTAATGTTGTTTGTTCCATTGGTGTAGCACTAATTAATAATGATGATGATGAATTTGATGATAATCCATTATTATTATTATAATAATGATGCTGTTGATTATTACTTAATAATGGTGAATTTGAATGAATTAATCCTCCAGTTGTCATCGATGATTGTTTATTTTGTTGTTGTTGTTGTTGATATTGATGATGATGACGACGATTCAATGTACCACCAATTATCGATTGTTGTTGTTGTTGTTGTTGTTGTTGCTGTATTCTTGATACAATCGATGATGGTAAATTTTCTTTAATCACAAATAAACTAAGCTTATTATTATTATTATTATTATTATTAGAATCAGGCACTGTTGATGTTGAAATAGTCGATTGTGATGATAATGATGATGATGATGATATAGCCATTGTTTTTTTAGTTACATCTGTACAAATAGCAACAATGTTAAAAAAAACAAAAAAAATAAATATAGAAAATTAGATAAAATGTATCAATCGGGGATTTTTTTTTTGTTGTTGTTGTTGTTTCGATTGCATTCATCAACAACAACAACAACATTTCAATGTATACAAAAACAACAACGTTGTTGAATTAAAGTTTGATGATGATGATGATGCTGAATTCAATCATGTAACAAACAAACAAAAAATTGATTGAATTATCGATCTTGATCGATTCGTGTGTTTGCTTTTTGTTTTGTTTTTTTATTATTGCTTTGGCTATTTTGTTCATTTCTATTTTCTAATTCTAAATTCTGATAGATTTTCAAGATGATTTTCACATTCTTTGATAGTAATTTTTCCCATCGTTGTTGTTTTTCTTGTTTCAATTCAATTCTGTATTCATTGTTTCAATTCGTCCATCTACACTCATTTAGATTCTTAGGTGTTTTTTTTTCGTTTATTCATTTCTTCGAATTGAATTACTTATCAATCAATACATTTCTATTCATAAATATCGTTATTAGAGCTTACCATTGAACGGGATAATATCTGGTTTACCATTTGTTGTTGTAGTTGTTGCCGTTGTTGTTGTCATTATTGTTGGCATCATCATCATTGTCATTGGTTGATTTGTTGTTGGTGATAAAAATGTATTGGCATTATTATCACTACCACCACAAAGATCATTACCATTATCATTGGTAATAATCATAGTAGATTCTTGATTCCTTGATGATGATAATAATCTAATGGTTCGTTGTTTTGTTTTACCACCACCACCACCATTATTATTATCAGCTTTTTTCTTTCTAACATTACCATTATCACTATCATTATTATTGATAATCAATGAAGAATGTTGATGATTATTATTATTATTTCGTTTTATCAATGATTGATTCATCATATTGTCAACATTATCGGTTGATATATCCGTTTCGGTAGGACGATAAGCAAAACTGGTATATGAAACAAAAGAAAAGAAAGAATAATTTTTGTCAAAAAAAAATTTTCACTTGAGAATTGCAAAAGAAATTGGAATCATTTTTTTGGAAAAAAGGGGGGAAAGAAAATGATGAAATGAAACATCCTTGTGGAAATAGAAATTTGAAATTCTTCACCACACACACACACTTATTGAACATCGATTTATCATAATCAATTTTTTTCGTTCGTTCATAATGATTTGGGGATTGATTAATTTCTGTGGGCGTGTTTTTTTGGTTGCTGTCTATTTCTCTTATTGTCACCATCATAATCATAATGATGATGGTTTTGATCGATTGACTACTGCTTGGAGAGGATTTAAGTGTTTCAAATAATTTTTCCATTGGAAAAAAAATGAAAATTCATCAAACGTAACACACACGCACATGCAGTTATTTAGGGAATTTTTCAATTGAAAAAAAGACTTACTTTTGTTTAATTTGTTCTTCTTTACGACGATTTTTTCTTGAAATTTGTCGTTGTCGTAAACGACAAACAATATAAACAATAATTACAATTAATAATATTGTAAATAAAATACTTATAAACATCATTGAATACCATGATTCATATTCATATTCTTGTAATGAGCTTGAAACTATGTTATAAAAAACAAAAGAAGAAGAAATTTAATTAAGAAAAGAAATTAATTACAAAAAAAAACTTACTTAATTTAGTATTTTTTGTAAATAATGTTGTTACTGTTAAACGTTCAAAATCACTTTGTCCACGTTCATTTTGTGCATATAATTCTAAATGATATTTTGTACCTGGTTGTAAATTATTTAGATAAAATATTGGACTTGTTTCGGATGTTAAATTTATTTTTTTATTTATCATTTCTTTTCGGTGATGAATTGAAATCAAATTATTAACACCACTATTACCAGCAGTTTTTATTTTCAATATTGATTGTTTATTATCAATAAGGGATTCATTTTCATTTTCATCTTCATTATCAATGTCATCGTCGTCATCATCAATTTGTTTATATTGATAAACATTGGCAAAAAATATTTGCCTTGAACCACCATTATCACCTGGATAACATTCAATTGTTAAACTTGTTGTTGTTTTATTTGTTACTGAACAATCATTTAATGATGATGGTGGTCCTGCTTTTTGTATACGAAATGAACATGGTTGTCGTTGTATACCTATACGATTTTCAGCCCAACAAGATAATTTTCCATAATCATTTTTTGTTTTAATTTGATATAATAATTCATTATCATATTCATGACGTGATTGAGCAATAATTTTTGTTTCATCTAACCATTCATCATCATTATTATTATCGTTATCATTATCATTATCATCATCCACATTATTCAATGTCCAATAATAATTTATTGCAATTGGATTTGATTGTACATCACATTTTAAACGTATCGATTCATTTATAGCTAAGGCATATTGTTGATTATGATTATGATGATGATTGTTTTGTTGATTGATTGTTGCTGTAGCCAAGGTGGTTGTTATTCTCATTCCATTATTATCACCTGAACCAGATTTATTTGGATTTAAATATGGATCATTACAGAATGGAACATCTGTCATCAAAAAAAGGTTGATTATCATAATTAGTTAATTAGCAAACAAATTAATTAAAGAAAATAAAGAATATTTACATTGAACATTCAATTGTATTGCATTTGAACGTGACATTCCTTGTTGATTAATAGCCATACATTGATAACGGCCACGATGATTTGCATTAACCGATTCGATTAATATTTTGGTTACATTTTGTTCTTGAACATCTTTATTTTTATTTTGGAAAAGAAACAAGAAAAAATAAAAAACAAATTCAATTGAAAAAAAGGATTGAAAGAAAAAATTTACATAACAAAAAAAAACAAAACACGAATCGAAAGTTTTAAAAAAAGAGAATGTTTCTCAAGAATCAAACAAACTTGAAATCTTGATTTTAGATCAGAACAATGTGGTTGTTGTTGATAAACTAAATGATTGATCAACAATGATGATTCGGAAACAAACAAACAAACAAACAAATTATATCGATTTTGAATTATGTTGTAATCAACAACATTCATAATTGAATTGAATGAATTTATTTAGATTCAAACAAAGAAAAACCCAAAAAATTCTTTCATTTTGAGCATCTTTATTTCAATAATCAACATCTTGTACAATAAAAAAAAATGCAGAATTTTCTTCATCATCACGATATTCATGATGTAAAAAAAAACACTGAATAAAGTTTGCCAACTCGAATTCATTTTCCAAAAAACATTGCACAAGATGATGGAATTGATGACAAAATTGAATGAATGATCGAGTGAAAACACACAACACACAAAACACACATACACACAAAGCCAAAAGAAAGAATCTTATAATTTAAATTCTGTAAGCATATTTAACTTTTTTTTATTTTTTCATTCTGGTGATGATGATGATGAAAAAAATGAAAAGAAAAATATTCTCAAAAGAAGAATCCATTCAGCATTCAAATCATCATCATTATCATCATCGTCAACATCGATATTGATATTGATCAATTCAATTCAATCATTAACTATTCCATTTTTGTTTTTTGTTTTGTTTTTCAACTTTGAAAATCATTAGTAGTATTATCATCGTTTTGCAAATGAATGATAATGGTAAAAAATTTAATTAATTTCCAATGTTGGTTTCAAAGTTTGTTTTTTTTATTTTTACAAAATCAATTTAGGTAGATTGATTTTGGGAAAATTTTTCCGAAGAAACTTTTCCGAAACTTTTTTCTCAAAAACATTGCCCGACTGATTTGCAATGGAAGCTCAGACATAAAAAATCTTTTACGAATCTAAATCTCAATTAAATTTTTTTTCGTTTGGCGGGTAATAATTTTTATGATAACGATAAAGTGAAAAAACCCAAGATAAAAATAGTCATAAAACTCTGAAGAAAAAAAGAATTGGTCCCAAGATTCTTGATTTGTTCGGTTCAAGGAGTAAAAAGAAAAAAATTTCAAATCAAAAAGAAACCAAAAACCCTTGAAATTGTTCATCATCGATTTTATATCGATTAAATCGATACTTTATTGGCTTGATGATATAACCATTATGACTTCTTTCTTCTTTTTTTTTTTGATTTCAGTTGCAGAAAAAAAAATAAACTCAAAGGACCAATCATCATGAAGTTTTCCAAAAAAAAAAATTTCCCAACTTCTTTACGATAATAAATTTAAAATTTTTTTAAAATTTTAAAATTCCATTTTGATTTTGATTTCACTACACTTCATTGGTGATTTTTTCAATGTTTCTTTCGCATCTTTACAGCAAACATTCAGAGATCAAGAAATGCGCCAAATTTTTACGAAAAAATAACAAAAAAGATTTTTCACTTGAATTTCAAATACAAAACAAAACAAAACAAAACAAAGCGAAAGAAAAACAAAGTAAAGGTGAAAATTGTTTTCCTGGAATAAATTTATTCATTTTTTCTTTCTTGTTCGTCAAAAACAAACAAGAATTTTTATTTTTATTTTTCCATCTTTGAATTGAATTTCATTCAATACGGAAACATTTTACCGTCAAAATGAACATCATCATCATTGGTGTGAGACAAGGAAAAAAAAGCAAAAAAGGAAGGAAATTACCGAACGAAGAAAAAGAAGAAAATGAAAATATTTTCGACAAGCTGTGCTGAATATAACTGTGTTTGCCACACGCCATTATTTGATTTTTTTTTGCTTCCTTCAAATATTCCAATGGATAAACCTTTTTTTTTCTTGACTGTCAATTTTCATCGGGTGTTTTTTTTTCCGAAAAAAAACGAATAAACGAATAAAACACGCAACTTGTAAAAAATGAATAACAACAAAAAAAAAGTTTTGAAAATTAAAAATTGAATTTTCAATCATCAAAAAACAGATCGACTTGGTTCGATTCGAATTGCGCAACAACAACAACAAGAAAAAGGTGAATTCAATGTCATTTCAATTGAATAGCACCATAATGATTATCAATTTTCTTTTTTTTCACTGAAAAACAATTTCACGAAGCTTTTTCGAAGAGGAAAACAAAACTTGATGAAAAAAATAAAAAATTTAATTCAATGAATTTTATTAACACAATGCACCCACATTGGAATAGATATTGGAAAATTATTGTAAAATTTCTCAATATTTTTTTCTGTTCTGTTTGATTTCCCATCGGAACATTTTGTTATAAACGAAAAATAGAAAAAACGTATCATCATTATACAATGAATGAATGAGTTTCAATTGAAAATGAAAACAGCAACTGATAAAACCTTTGGCTAAAAGTGAATGGAAAAAGTGAAAAAGTAATGTCCAAAGCACAATAACAACAACAATATCCGCATCATTAGAGATGAGAAAAATTTGAAAATGTCCGAATAAGGAAATGGAGAATCCAGTTTGTGATTAATTTGAATAAATAGCCAAACACACAGAGGAGGGAGAAGAAGAACAAAGGTCGTCAATATTCGGGTCGTGTATGGAGGTTTTTTTGGATTTGGTCCATTTTATTGCATCATCATCAATGACGATGGATGATGTGATGAGCATTTTTGGCCATGTCTCGTGAGCATCATTAACCAATCATCCGTTGAAAAAAAATGGTCGTTTCAAATCTTTGCTTCATAAACAAAACAAACAAAACAAAATTCATGGATTTATTTCTCCTCGTTGGCACTGAACTTGATATATGACCCTTATATACGATGTAAGGTTGATGAACGAAACAAAAAGGAAAGAAACATTGTTTTCCCAGTGATAATCCATGAAAACAATGTTTTTGAAGAAAAAAAAATTCTACAGATCCTGTAGATGGCTAATGATTTATATTTGCAATGACATTCATTCATTCATTCTGTAAACATTCATTCATTACATTTACATTTGCACCGAATAACAAAAAAAAAACAAAACAATTCTCGAAGGAATTGATTCCTGAAAACAGAAAAAAATTCCTTTTGTTTTTTCGGATGATAATTTCAATACGAAAATTGCGAATATTTTTTTCCCCTTATTCTCAACTGAAAAATTGAAAAAAAATCCATAAAATTCATAAGATTTTCTTTTTTCAACAATTAAATCCAATCCCATTCAAACAAGAATTAAGAATATTCCAAGGACACCATGAATCTTACGTAACAATGTCTATCCAGGATTCTCTGCATTGCTCCATTCATTTACTCAAAGAATTTTGTTTACATTTCGGAAAAAAGGAAAATTTGAAAAAGAAAATTGAAAAGAATGTAAAATAAGGTAAAATTTACATTTTCTTGATATTTTTTCAATGTTTTTATCTTATTTTCTGGCCATTTAAGATATTTATTGAAATGAAAAATAAATAAAATTATGATAATCCACACACACACACACACACACACACACACACACACACACACCAATCAAATTGGCAAAGAAACAAGTTTAGGCAAATCGAAATCGAGATAAAATACATTTAAAGAATTTTGAAGAAAAAAAAATTTAACGAAGCGAAAAAATGAATTGAATAAAAAAAAGAGTTGAATTCAATTGAACGAAAAGAAAATGAATTTTCTCTTGGGAAATTTTCATTTTTTATTTTTTTTCGATCTAAAATTATGTAAGAATGTATGGTGTGTGTGTGTAAGTGAAAGTGAAAGTGAAAGTGAAAGAAAAATTACATGAATTAAAATGAAAAAAAAAGATGCTTAAAGGATTTTTTTTCTCTCTTTTTTCTCGGTTTTGTTTATTTTATACAACACCATCATCATATAGTCAATAAATTTATTGCCTTAATATCTTTTCCTTCTTCATTTCTAACCTACTTTAGTAACAAAAAAATTTACAAATCCAAAGCATCATCGCAAATAGATAGATAGATTGCATGTTTAGGTGTGATTTGCAGCTAAAATTAATTACCAAAAAAAAACAACATATTTTTCTTGTAAGAATTATCAAAATTTGAAATTTATGAAAAAAAAACAAAACGATAAAAGAATGGGTGATAAACGTATTTGACGTTTGTGTGTGTGTGTAAATAGGAAAAGAGAGTTTTTTACATAATTTACACTTGGGAAAAATGATAATAATAATAATAATTATCATTTTCATTAATTATCGCTGAGGAATATTCTTTTCTTTTCTTGTTGTTGTTCGAATCTAATCACAATAGCCAAATCTTTTAGTAGTTGATTTTGAAACTTTGAATTCTTGATTTTCTTGATATTTGAAAAGTTAAACGAAGTGTACACATTAATTAAAAGATTTCTCTTCTTTTTTGCCTTTTTTTCAGCCAAACAAAACAAAATTCTCATTATAAACATAATGAGAATTTTTCAAAATCTTTTTCTTCAGCAAACAAAAGGTAAAGTCAAAAAAAGAAGCAAAAATTTAAAAAAAAAAACAAATCCAAAATGAACCATCCTTTCATTTTCATTTCCATCACACTATTATTATTATTATAGACAGACAAACATATATTTCATTCACACGTGAATAATATGTAAATCACTTTTTTACTTCTTCTTTTCCTTTTCATTTCGAAATAATTTTCCTCTGTGTGCAGAAAATGACTAAATTAAAATCCAAAAATACAAAGTGAAAAAAAACGAATGGTTCTTCTTCTTCAAGCTAAATCCTTTACTTTTCTTTCTTTTTTCCTCTTGAAATACTTTTGAAATTTCTTCTTTTTTTTTATTCGTTTTGATTTTTAACTTAGTGAGAGAAAAGAATAATATCCGGAATCTCTGCAAACACAGAGAGAAAGAATCCACACACAGAAGAATTTCTCTCTCTCTC